TTACGGTGAGGTTGGCAGATCGGCTTGGCGAATGCAGGTTATTCAGTCGTGGCGCGATCGATGCGATTTCGCGCCGGTCCTATCTACGTTTCGATTATTTCCGAGGGGCGGCGAGGTAAGTCGGGGCCGTCGACCTCCCGGCAGTCCTCCCGATAATCCGATAAACGGTCAGGAGTAGCCGGTTCGCGTAATTGCTCGATCAATTTTCTCGCGGCGAGCGTTGTGTGTGCTCGTCCTCCTCCTCGCCAAAGGCCCGACACGATACGTACCGGCCCGAGCCGGAGCCCGAGTCCGATTCGACCCGGTTCCTCCTGTAACCGCGTTACACGCCCCGAGGAAATCGAGAAACGTTGCGCTCTCGGATTTAGTTGGTCGCCGCTCCCCCCCTCCTCTCTCTCTCTGGCTCTCTGCTGTGATCTATGGCTCTCTATGGCTCTCTTTGGCTCTCTATGGCTCTCTATGGCACTCTTTGGCTCTCTATGGCTCTCTTTGGCTCTCTATGGCTCTTTGCGACGATCTATGGCTCTCTTGGCTCTCTTTGGCTCTCTATGGCTCTCTCTCTCTCTCTGTCTTTCTCTAGTTCTCTCTCTAGCTCTCTCCCTAACGCGCTCTCTCTCTAGCTCTCTTCCTAGCGCGCGCTCTCTCTTTCTCTCTCTCTCTCTCTCTCTCTCACTCTCTTTCTAGCTTTCTATAGCTCTCTGTTTCTCTCTCTCTCTCTCTCTCTCTCTCTCTGCCACTCTCTGTGTGTCTCTAGCTCCCTACAATTCTCTCTCCCTCTCTCTCCCTCTAGATCTCAATGATTCTCCCTACCTCTCTCTCTCCCTCTCTCTCTCTCTCTCCCTCTGGCCTCTGTTCCCCCTGTCTCCCCCCGTGCCCCTCCCGCGACGTTGCCGGTTACGGAGAGCGGGAGCGTCCCGACGCCAGTTTCCGTCGGCCAATTTGAATACAGATCGACACGCGGCGACGTTATTAAGTCGATGCAGGAATTCTCGGCGTTCCGACGACCGGCAACGGCACCGGAAGCGATCGAACCGTGCCTCGCCCGGCGAACAATGCCGGAGAGGCTACGGTAAGAGGATTCCGGCGGGTGAATCGCGAGCGGAATTGCAAAGAGACCCCCGAGAAGGCCGCCTTTACCGCCGCGATTGATGCACGCTCGTCGGTCACCCCTTAACAAAAACTTGCACATGCACCGTAGCCCGGTGCCGCACCAACGGCGAAACCCGAGCAACGATTTATTCTCCGTTCGAACGTTAATCACCGGAGGGCACCAGGCATTTTCATTACCGCCGCGATACTGTAACCGCCGCACATAAGTACAACGAGAAACAGGGTAAACGATATTAACCCTTCACGCACGAGCGGCGACTGTTGGACGGCGCTCGAAAGTGTTGTATCACCGTTGAAAATAATGTTTGCGATGCCGAATTTGTTTGCGTTTGAGAAGGTGAACTCTTGAAATGGTAGAAATTATTTCTTATTTTATTAGTTGGAGGGTGTCTGTCTCGAGATAATTAGCATTATAAAATTTAACGGTTTAATTGTGCGATTGCTGTAGCAAAAGTCGAGAATTTATTACATAAAAAATATAGAGCATAGGAAATAATTTCCTATCCTCCCCCGTCAACCCCCTTGGTAAACGTAGGAAATTATATAAATAGAAATTAATATGAATAGAATTAATATATAAACAGAATTAATATAAATATATAGAATAAAAATAATTAGAATTAATATAAACAGAATTAAAATAAATAGAATTAAAATAAATAGAATTAATATAAACATAATTAATATAAATAAAATATAACTAGAATTAATATAAATAGAATTAATAGAAATAGAAACGATTAAGAAATGTCTCCGAACACCTACGGTAAAAACAGTGTTAGGAGTTGCTTTCGTCGATCCGTCGAATAAACGCGACCTAGTGAAAAATTTCATTTCGATTTACACCCCCGACCGAATGAAACCGGAAGACGGCCAGCAGCGCGGGTTCGCTGGAACGCGGAGGCGTCGAAATCAAAATCTTGCCGCGTTGTAATAAATGTATACGAGAGAACCCGACCCGCCTCGGCGCGTTTCGCCAGCGGAAAATGCGGCGCGTGACCCGGCACGAGCCCGAGCCCGAGCCCGAAACCACGACGAAGTTATTTATTTCCGCGGGGGTGACAGGTCGCGTGCGTAAGTCTCCGCGAAAGAGACCGCCGCGCAATTTTTCGTTATTCTGGTTTACGAGGTCGCGGCCGCGTCCGCGGAATGCGTGGCCCCGCACGCTCAGCGCGTTTATTCGCGCCGGCGAGCGCCGACGGGCGCGGGTCGGCGCGGGTCGACGCGGCCGACAAGGGTCGCCCGGGTTTACGAGCGGATCCATAGTCGGCAACGGCCGGCTATTCGGGTTAACTGCAGTCTGAACGCGATTTATTCTCATCGCGATGCACCTCCTCATCGTCGGGACCGTGCCGCCGCGCCGGGGGAAGCGCCAATTCGCGGTCGAATCTTTTCGCTGTCGGCTCGCACCGATGGATTAATTATTTGATAACGGCCCCCTGTACTCGCCAAAATTTTGCTCTAGACCTAAGTGGACCAGTTACTGAGACTAGTGGGATCCATTTCCCGAGAGATCCCAAAAAATCCCGAAAATGAATTCTACTAGTCTCAGTAACTGGTCCAAAATTTTGCTATCGACCGAGGTGGGCCAGTTACTGAGACTAGTGGAATGGATTTCCGGACAGATCCCAAAAATCTGGGAAACCAATTCTACTAGTGTCAGTAACTGGTCCACCTCCGCCGATAATAAAATTTTGGACCAGTTACTGAGACTAGTGGAATTGATTTTCGGGACTTTTGTCATCTGTTCGGAAATCAATCCCACTAGTCTCAGTAACTTGTCCCCCTAGGTCGATAGCAAAATTTTGGACCAGTTACTGAGACTAGTAGGATGGATTTCCTGATAGATTGGGGTGCCAGTGTAGATCGATTTTTTGTAAATTTTATGATTACTCTTGCTAAAAATATCCCAGTTCCGACCATCACCAATGGTTTCGAAGATATTTCCATCGATTTAAATGGGTCACCCTGTATGTACCTGGATTCGCGGACAACCGCTTCACGAATGTTAACCCTTTGCACTCGAAGCCATAGGTAACTGTAAATTTCAATTAACTTTTCTGACTTATAGTATTTCCATTTTAGTGACAAAGTGCACTTTATGCGTACGAAATTGAGTCTCGTGGCTCATCAAACAGTTAGACTTTCAACAATTCCTTATACCTAAGCTTCGATATCATAAAAATTATCTTGATACGTGGTGTAACAATCTTAGTGGTGTCTCAGAGTCGCCGCTCAAGTGCAAAGGGTTAAAACTGCTCGACAAAGAAAAAGAACATCGAAGAACCGCATGAAAGACACTCTTAAGTCGCCTAGAAGTGTAGCGCCTCAATTCGTACAGCAGAACCCAAGAGCGACAAGGTCTCCGATCTAGCCTAATTCCGACTTCTCGTTCCCCTTGTTCCATATGCCGAATGAATCCGCGACGCAGCGAGAAGTTGGGAGCTGCTGCGGCGGAAGAGAGCAATGGGAACCGAGCAAGCAGTGGGAACTAAGCATCGCCGAGAGAAAGAATTCCCTCCTCTCCCGGCTCGCATAACGTGAACGTAAACACATATTACGCTTATCTTGCCCGGGGTTAGATAATGCAGCGTCGTTCCGGCGGCGCTGATTCCCGGCGTAATGACAACGGCGAGCGTGTGTGCCCGCCCGTTTAATCGCCGACCACTTTGTCCGCTCCTTTTTCTATCCCGTAGTAACCGCCGACTGCATAATAAAGACGCACGATTATCATTACCGGCGCCGGCGGAGAGTATTCTAATACGACCGCGAAACGCGTTCTAATACAGCTCCGAGTCGCGAGCAATCTCCCTCTCTCTCTCTCTCTCTCTCCGCCTGTTTTTTCGCTGAACGTAATTAGTTGCCGGCAAAGTGAGCCACCATCTGGGCAACCGGAAGCCAGACAGGGGAGCGAGAACGAATCTAACGAAGCCACGGTGGCGGCGCGCCGGGGCAAATAAAAAGCCCGGAATCCCGGCCGCCGGGCAAGAAGGAAGGCGGAAGATACTCGGTCGACGGTAACTCCACTAATTGCTCCCAAAATTGCGTCTAATTGTCGGGCAGACGCTTCATCAGCATTACCGGGAAAAGCTCCGGGAGCAGGTGGCCGGGCGCGGGCGGGACCGAGCGCCGCCCTTCGCAGCCCTGCACAGCCCCGCACCCTTTTCGCCGCGGCGGTAGGGCGCGCGGGGAACGAGGGCGGATGGGAACGGAGGGACACGAGCGATCCGAACGAAGATGCTGACAGCGGGTACACCAGGTCTTCTCGGTACACCACGTTGCGAGAGCCGGAGGATCTTCTGCTGTTTCAGCGGATCGTGCCACGTCGTCGTTGTCCTCGGCGTCTCCGCCGCGTTGCAACACGCTTTCTCCCTTGATTCCCCATCGATCACCCCGCCTCGGAGATCGTAAGTCACCCCCGTCTCGTACCCTCCCGGACGACCCGTCTGGCTTATCGCCCCTTCGCTGTCCCACGAACACGGCACCCGCCACTTTCCCCCGTCACCCCCGTCTCGACCTCTCGGCTCGCGAAACAAAGGACCCGCTCCGCCCCTCGCTCGATGTCACCCAAGCGTCCCGGTGCGATCTTCGCGATCGGACGTCGCGACGGTTCCCTTCCGAGACCAGGATATCCCGTGGACACCGTTGAAAGCGTTGTCCGACGATGACAATTGCGCCGAGGATCTTTTTTTACGCCAAAGAATTACGTCACGAGGCAAATGATTCTCGGCAGAAAAATTAGGGATCCCTTTTTCCAGGCCGGCGCGGCTCCCGAAGACCGCGGAGCCCCGTATCTCGTTGCGGTTTTTTTACAGGACGGTGGAAATGCTGATAGGGTGGACCGGTTGTGGCCGGTGCTACGTTTCTGGCTATCTGCATCAGCGTGCATAGTTTCTTTCTTCTTTTTTTTTTCGAGCTTAGTTCGCAGTTTCTAACGATCGACGGAACTTTGAACTAGGAGATAGTGGACGTTTCTTGGTGGACATGGAAATTTTGCGAGGAGATCGTTCTTTCTGGAACGCGAACTGCGATTCGGGATTGCTCGCGAAGGATCTGTGCAATTGTGTACCATTTTTGGAACGAACGCGATGGCCGCGTGGTAAACTGAACGGATTTATTTGTTGACGATAGGGCCAATGTGTTTTAAACGAGAATAGTGTGTAATGTTTTATAAGGTTGACAAGATTCGGTTTATTTGAACCTTCTTTGATTGTTATTATGATGTATGCTTGGATGAACAAAGGTTCATAGAAAAATTTTTATAGAGAAGATTTTTATGTTATCGAGAGAAGCGTAAAAGAAAAATATCAGAAACCAGTTATTTTGATTAAGTTGGTTCTAGTATTCTAGTGTTCTATTGTTAACTAAACGTACAAAATATTAGAAACCAGTCATTTTGACTAAGTTAGTTCTATTATTCTAGCGTTCTATTGTTAACTAAACGTACAAAATACAGTGAAGATTCTCTCTTATCTGATGATATATTTTCGTAATATGTGTGTGCTGATACCAACGCGTTCTATTATTTATAAATTTCGTTCAAGTTCTCTGAGTAATACGATGATTAAATAATAGAACGTTATACGGATAGCAGAACATAGCAGAACATTTCTACATTGTAAAAATAAATATTCAAATAAGGGAGTGTCCACTGTGTGTAGAATTGCGATATTACATATATAGAATTAGAAAATATTGTTAAATATTAAAAAACAGAGAAATTATGTAGAATTACGATATCAAGAAGAAAATGAACGGAATTAGTAGAAGAAGGAAATGCAAGGCGAATGAAACTGATAGCAAAAAGGATGAAACAGACGGAAATAGGACGAAAAGAAAAATGCGAGGAATGAAAGTAACAAGAGAAACGTGAAAGAACAACGCGAAAGTGTACCAAGAGAAGTAAGTCAAATAAAACTACTTTTACGTTATCATTATAGATCGTTATACGTTCAAACGCCAAGATTTGCGAGAATGTTACAAAGTAAAATATAGGAAGGCGAAATGTTCCAAAGCTTGCGCTGCTTTTCGATCACTCATATCTTTCCTTATTACAAGTTTATGACACGCTGGTGGCCGCAAATTTTGAGAAATGCATATTTTACCATTTTTTTTTATTGTGATCATTAGACCGTGGATTGCGCGCGTTTGTGGCAAAAATGAATACTTCAAATATAAAAGTGCGAAGACATGAAAAGAATTTAAGGATATCGTTGAATTATCTTCAAGTTGACAAAATGATTAGAAGACATAGTTGATTTTGATTCCATTTCTGTTTCTTAGCAGAAAATTGCGGAAAATTTTTATTTTATCTATTTTTATTTATTATTCTTCGATCATTTCGTTATCCTATTGCAACTTAAACACCGCATAAGTTTTTCGTCTACGATTATTCAAATTCTAACGATACATATACGAGTTATTTATTCAATATACGCGTTATTTACGACGGATGTTGCAATATCACTCGTCGAAGATCAGAATAAACGTCTCATTGTTGCTTCTATAAACACGGCTGCCTTCGGTGCTCCCTATAAATCTACTGTCAAGTGACCAATTAACCCCTTTCGCAGTCGAAGCTATTTGAATTCGAAATCCAAAACATGACAACCGATCTACAGTATTTCTATTTTATACAATTTATTGCGATTTATGCGCACGAAATTGATCCTACCAGCAAGTACAGTGCAATTTTAACCATTCTTTTAAAAATATAAACGAGTTCGATGCTCTTAACGATGATTTCGAAAAATAGTACACCAATTTTTAGTGACGCCACTCGTCACTCGAGTGCAAAGGGTTAAAACCTGTGCGTTTCTTCCGCGACACAAGATCCCCAGAATATTTTCGTCGAAATCCGTACACGCAAATCCTCGACAACCGAGGATGCATCCGCCCCTACAAGACATTTCTGTTTCAGCTCGCGCTCCGGTCGACGGAGCGATTTGCATGGAACACGGCAACGGGGTTAACAAGCTAACCCTAACCCGGCCGAGGGTCCGATGGAAGCAGTTTCGAAGGTCGCTGCGGCTTTTTAAGACAGTCGTCTGCAAATCGACTATTCGCGGCTGCTGAATTATAACAGGGTCTCCGGTAGAAATCAGCACCAAGAGGGACGAAGAGGGGAGGTAAGCCGGACTGTGTTACTCGTAAGCGGCGTAGTAATGCAAATCTTTGCGAGCGGAGGAACTCGGGGACAGCCGAGCTCTTTCTCTCCGGCTGTATAATTCAGCGACATCGAGCCGAAGGAACGGAGAGAACGAAAGGGTAAGGAAGAGAGAAGGGGAGAGAGACAGAGCCGGCACCGCGAAAAGCAACCGAAAGATCGGCCAAGCCGCGCGCATCCCCGACTTCTATTATTTTTCCCCGGCTTTCGGAAAGTAAACCGATTAGCGGGGAAGCGGCCTCGCCGACTACTTCCGTCGTCGGCGGAAGATCAATATCGGCGGCGCAATTTATTCGCAACAGATGCGGCGGAACAACGCGGAAACAAGTGAAACGTTTCGACGGAAACTGCTCGTCGGACCGGGAAAAGCAACGTACGCCCCCCGGATGTTTCGGGAACGTGTGGCCCCGAAGTTCGCGACTCGGCCGGAGAACGGAACTTCCGCGAGAAAGAGGGACGATCTTTCCTGTTAACGGTGCGCCTTCTTTCTCGGCTTTCTTATTGCCGAGCGGGTTTGCTCCCGTTTTAAAACTACTGTTCGGAAGGCTGGTCCCGCGCCGGCTACGCGCGTCCCGATTTAGAACATCAAAGACGCCGATGCAGCGTCCGCCGCAATTCCTGGTCGCGTTCGCCGCTGCAAAAATGACGGTGCGATCCGGAGAACACACCCTCCGCGCGCGGGGAAGCGTCTGTCCTTATTCTACAGCTCTCTCTCTCTCTCTCTCTCTCTCTCTCTCTTTCTTTCTCTTTCTTTCTCTTTGTCTCCCCCCCTCTCTCTCTCTCTCTTTCTTTCTCTTTGCCTCCCCCCCTCTCTCTCTCTCCCTTTCTTTCTCTTTCCTTCCCTTCCTCTCTCTCTCTCTTTCTTTCTCTTTCCCTCCCTCTCTCTCTCTTTCTTTCTCTTTCTCTCCCCCCTCTCTTTCTTTCTCTCTCTCTCTCTCTCTCTCTCTCTCTCTCTCTNGCACCGCGAAAAGCAACCGAAAGATCGGCCAAGCCGCGCGCATCCCCGACTTCTATTATTTTTCCCCGGCTTTCGGAAAGTAAACCGATTAGCGGGGAAGCGGCCTCGCCGACTACTTCCGTCGTCGGCGGAAGATCAATATCGGCGGCGCAATTTATTCGCAACAGATGCGGCGGAACAACGCGGAAACAAGTGAAACGTTTCGACGGAAACTGCTCGTCGGACCGGGAAAAGCAACGTACGCCCCCCGGATGTTTCGGGAACGTGTGGCCCCGAAGTTCGCGACTCGGCCGGAGAACGGAACTTCCGCGAGAAAGAGGGACGATCTTTCCTGTTAACGGTGCGCCTTCTTTCTCGGCTTTCTTATTGCCGAGCGGGTTTGCTCCCGTTTTAAAACTACTGTTCGGAAGGCTGGTCCCGCGCCGGCTACGCGCGTCCCGATTTAGAACATCAAAGACGCCGATGCAGCGTCCGCCGCAATTCCTGGTCGCGTTCGCCGCTGCAAAAATGACGGTGCGATCCGGAGAACACACCCTCCGCGCGCGGGGAAGCGTCTGTCCTTATTCTACAGCTCTCTCTCTCTCTCTCTCTCTCTCTCTCTCTCTCTCTCTCTCTCTCTCGTTTGCTCTCGTCGCCCGATCTCGTCGAGAGGTGTGCGAACGGAACCGACGAGACGAGCAGCAAGCCGACGCGCGGCAGACCCGTCTAACGAGACCTCGTTGAGGCTTGATTTAATTTCCAAGCGGCGGCGGTGGCGGCTGCTTTCGGTGAAAAGCTCGCAATCACCGGGTAATATCCAGACGACTCCGGCGGTGTTAGGGGCCCGGCCCCGGCCCCGGCGCCGGCTGGCCGCGATGATGGACGTGACTCCGCAAGAACGGAAAAACGCGCGCGCCCCGTTCGATCCGCGGCCGCGGCCGAATAAAATATCCGGCCATTGTGCCGGGCAGCCGGCGGCCACGTAACCCGGCTGGTATATCGCGATCGCGCCGCGATAATGCAAGGAAATACGAGCTCGTTCGCAACAAAAGTTCCCATTCTTATCGCGCCGCCGAACGCCATTACCGTTTCCGCGGGCACCCGGGGAATAGCGAATAGGATGGGGCCGCGAACTGTGTTTTCGGAGACGCGCGCGCGCCTCCCATTACTCGCGAAATTCTTGGCAAAGTAATTTAATGTCGGCGCGGCTCCGTTCCCCGGGCGCAATCTTAATCAATTCCGCAGCCGAGCCGACACATTCTAACAGCCAGACCGAAGTGGAGCGCGCGGAATGCGCTCGTCGACGTCGTCGTCGTCGTCGTCGTCGTCCGACTGCATCTCCTCCCTGCATCAGCCGCATCGGCTGACGAACGTACGCCCGCGATATGGCCGCCTCGCGCCTCCCCGACGACACGCCGTCTCATTTCCGACCTATAGAAATATTCGCGTTGGGATACGACCCCTTTGTGCTCTCTCTCTCTCTCTCTCTCTCTCTCTCTCGCTTACTCTCTTTCTCTGTCCTCGAGCGGGGAAACCTTGACACGATTGATACCGGGTCCGTTTTGATCCCGTCGCGCAGAAAGCCTCGGTGATCGACGGCTGAATCGCTCGGTCAGTTTTCGCTAGATCCCCGGCAATATCGATTCCGGTTGAGCGAACGTTGTAATTTGATTTATTTGATTTATTTGATTTATTCCAGACGCCTAGGTTCACGGAACCCGTCGATATGACCGAGTTATAATTTTTGAATTTACCGCTGTCGAGATTGATGATAAAAATACGTGTTAAGGTCTAATGTGGAAATACACTAACGTCCCTCTAATTGACGCTCAGATTGTCCACAGAAATGGAGAAGATTTGGGAAGAGGAGACGCGATTAATTTGAATCTTGCGCCTCGTTTTTTATTATTACCGTTTCTCAACAACTATGAAAACGAGGCGCAAGACTCGAATAATCGTGTCTCCTCTTCCCAAATTGTCCATTTTTGTGGACAATCGAGTGACAATCTGAGCGTCAGTTAGGGAGACATTACTGTAGTATCAAGCACGGTGGTTTCATTTATCACTTACACAATCTCGGCTTAAAATTTATGTTAACATTTCGCGTCGTTGCCATACAAGTTGGCGTTTCGATTTCAATCGAATTGTATACAATTTTGGTGCAAAATGCTAAATGGAGCAAAAATGAAGGCAGATGTTAAAAAAAGATGTTTCGCTTCGATAGTCGCGAAACGCCAACGAACATTTGCATTACGTCAACTATGCGCTAACGTTTCGCCGTTCTTCTTTTTGTTTCAGCATACGCGTGATCCGTCGTTCCAAAAAATTGCTTAGATGCTCCAAAAGAAGAGAAGAGCCTTGGAAGGCTCGCAAATAATTATGGTGATACTGTTATAAAATTTGAAGCTCGACAGGCGATTCATCGAGGATGCGTCGTCGTCGAGAGCCCTGGTTGCTCTCTCTCTCTCTCTCTCTCTCTCTCTCTCGAGATCTCTCTCTCTCTCTCTCTCTCTCTCTCTCTCTCTCTCTCTTCTCCGAGTAAAAATGGCCACTCATTTGCTAGATTCAGTTTGGAAACTCCATCACGGTTCCAGCTGGGCGCGCCGAGAGAGAGAGAGAGAGAGAGAGAGAGAGAATTGTAGAGAGCTAGAGAGAGAGAGAGAGAGAGAGAGAGAGAGAGGGGGAGAGGGATAGCCAACGGGTTAAAACTGGCTGCGAGTCTAATGCATTCGGTTGTCCGAGGCATCCGAAACTCGTGTCCCGGTTTTCCGCTGCAACATCGGCAAGTTTGACCGTGTAACGCCCGCGCTCGCTCTAACCGCTCGGGGTTGGCTCGAACGGAAGACAATGACGGATACACCGACGTTGTCGAGTTGTCTATAAACTCCGGGGCGCTTGTCTTCGGCGCGATCTCGTTACGGGCTCGGGCCACGACTCCCGGGGCCCCGTTGTTCGGATTTAGCCGCGCCTTATCAAGCTACGATAAAACACGCCCTTTTCCTTTGCATCCAAAGCGCCCGTTACTTTAATTTCTCTCGGCTCCCGAGATACACCCCGGGGTCTTAGCCGGCGCTTTTCTTCGCGCTCGCCCTGTTTCCCGCTCGACCGTTCCCCGTTGATTGTTTCTCTCATTCTTTCTTTCGGCTCGCTTTTACATTTCATTGTTCCTTCGGCCGGGTTTCTTCCGCGCGTTTACGTCTAATCCGTTTTCACAAGGTATCGCGGCCGGACACGACCGTGGCGTCGTTCTTTCCCTCGTTACACGCGCGCGTAATAACCTCGACGCTGTGTCGCGATTGTTGTTGTTATTATTATTATTATTGTGTTATTATTCGTGCGCACTCGCGGCGGTGAAAAGGGTAGACGGAATCGCGGAACGAGAGCGAGCCGCATGGAAAGGTCGCGAGAGAGCAACGGAACGGCGCCGAGCGCCCGGCTGGCTGCTTTTGTTCGACGGGAACGCTCGCGTTTCTGCGAGCGACACACATTTCTGCATTCGCGAGCGCTCCCTCCCCCCCTCTGGCTCCGATGTGATATAAAAGATTAATGTAATACGCGGCCGCGATGCACGCGGACACATAGAAGCCCGAGCGGTGGGAGCCGCCGGCCTTAACGAGGTCTTGTCGCCGAGGTCTGATTTAATTTTCAGGACGCCGAGGCATTCGACCGATAATACGCGCGAACCCGGCCGACGCCGAGGACCGCCGACTTATTTGTCCCGCGATAAATGGGACGTTCCCGTCTTCTTAAATGATAATTAGCGGGTTACACCGGCGCGGCGAGACCGAGGTGTTTCCTTTCAAATGCCGAAAACGTAACGCGGAGAGCCGCGCGCGATACAGTGCGCGCGAGGACGAGACGCGAATTTCGTGGTCCCGAGTCGGTCCACGGCGCCGGTTAACATTAATCGATTAATTAATATAATTAGCAGCCCGTTATTATCGGCCGCCCACGCTCCTCCCCTGCCCCCGCCCCGTGTATGCAGATGCGCGTCGCGCGTGAATTATCAAGCCGTTCGTTACACCAACACCGACGGCTTATTACATAATTGATCTCATCAAATTATTGCTCATTTGCGGCCCATTCGGCGGCCCGTAATGACCATTCCGATGCCGTCAGGACGCGTCTTCCGGAAAAGCCGATAAGCCGATCTCCGGCGAGATGTTTCTGTTTCGAACGCGAGATGCTGGTACAGCGAATTCTCTCTGATTCTATTGTATCGTACTTAGACCGCGAACTTTTTCATACAAAATAAAAACTGTCCAAATTAATTGCAAGATACGTGAGTCTCATAAAAAATATCTCCCTTCGTTTATTCATTTCATTGAGTCCTACAAAATAAAAGGATAGTCTGAAATTCTTCCAACGACTTGACAGTTATTTATTTGCCGCAATCATTTCTGTAAAAAAATGCACGGTATCTACAGCTTATATTTATACAACTTATACTTACATTTATACAACACGTATCACTTTTACACACACACGTGGCAACCGACGTGCCGTCGTAAACGTACGCGAGCACGTCGAACCGGCTCGATGGGTTGATCGCACACCCCCTCAGGAGGGTGCGATGCACCTTGCGTCGTACCGAATTCGCGAGATCAAGAGTCTGCCGCTCCTGCGACGCCATTTGCTGCAAAACGTCGCTCTTGGGGGCACTTTCGTGCGCTCCCACGGGCGAGGCTAGTGGCCCGTGGCTGGCAGGAGCAATCACAGGTCCTCGAAGATGTTTCCCGTAACGAAGTGGACGGTTGCGGTTGCGGTTTATTCATAAGAGGGGCTCGTTACTCTCCTCGGCCGCATCTAAATGCGCCGGGCGGCGTTTCGCCTTTGCATTCAAAGCGGGACGCCAAGTCGGAAGCGTGTTTACATGTGCCGGGCCGAGTCGGGCCGGGCCGCGCCGGGTCGGGTCGGGTCGGGCCGGGTCGGGCCGGGCGCGTCGCCTGGCTAAGTGGACCACGCGAGTGACCAGTCCTAACGAGGCCTCGTTGCGGCTTGATCCAATTCTCGACGTTCGCCGGCATTCGGTGAAAAGCTAAAGCTAACGGGCCGAAGTGCGATCTACGCTCCGAGAGATCGACGAGAGAGAGAGAGAGAGAGAGAGAGAGAGATCAACGAAAGAGAAAATCTGAAAAGATCTGATCTCTGTCTCTCTCTCTCTCTCTCTCTCTCTCGTCGACTTCTCTCTCGCTGATTTCTCTTTCTTTCTCTCTCTCTCTCTCGTTGATTTCTCTCTCTTTCTCTCTCTCTCTCTCTCTCTCTCTCTCTCTCTCGGTGATCTCCCTCTCATCGATTACTCTCTCGGTGATTTCTGTCTCGGTAATCTCCTTCTCATCGATTGCTCTCTCGTTGATCTCTCTCTGTCTGTCTCTCGTTGATATCTCTCTCTTTCTCTCTCTCTCTCTCTCTCTCGTCAATCTCTCTCTCTCTCTCTCTCTCTCTCGGTGATCTCTCTGAGAGAGAGAGAGAGAGAGAGAGAGAGAGAAAGAGAGATCAACGAGAGAGAAGATCTCTCTCTCACAGAGAGATCACCGAGAGAGAGAGAGAGAGAGAGAGAAGAGAAGGAGATCACCGAGACAGAAATCACCGAGAGAGGGAGAAAGAGAAAGAGAGATCAACGAGAGAGAAGATCTGAGAAGAGAAGGAGATCGCCGAGACAGAAATCACCGAAAGAGAGAGAAAGAGAGAGAGAGAGAGAGAGAGAGAGAACTATAAAAAAGGTAAACTATACAGAGGACTGTAGAGAGGACTAGACTACACAGAAGACCATACAGAGGACTATAGAGACGACTGTGCACAGAGAGGACTATAGTAGAGGGCCACAGAAGGGTGGCCTCGCGAGCCATGCCGGAAGAGGGGCCTCGACCGCGGCCGGATCAGCGCAATTTAAGAGCCGCAGTCTACGCTCGTGCACAAACTTAATCCGTCCGATGCACGGAATGCGGAATGACGAGCCGACGAGACACTGTCCTCTCCCTTCTTTTCTGTATACTGTAGTATATCCATCTCGAGAAATGGAGTTTCTTCGTGGCACGCCGTAGCTCCCAGCCGGAATACCGAGACCGGATTTCGCAGCCGGATATTTGTTTTTCCGGCCTGAATGCTGAACACTGCGTCGAATGAAGTATTCATAACGAGGCGGCTCTCTATACAGGGTGTCCCGCAATGCCGTCGTCGCGCCAGCTCGGACCGAAATGGGAAACGGGTTCTCGGGATTCTTCGGGCTCGCGGCGCTACGTTACAAGAGCTGGACAGACTTTGTCGTATGAGCCGTTTATTTTGAAAGTGGCATAAGTCACTTTGTTTTTAAGTCGATATATTTAAGGGTTTGCGTTTTAACACCGTTTAAAAATATGGATGCTAACTTTCGAGAAGATTTACTTGTATTCTTTTATCCGAGGATACTGAGATATTTTTCTCAGTATAAATAATTTCGTATAAACATTAAAAAATCACCACTTTTCATTACGGTAAAGTGACTTATGCCACTTCCAAAATAAACGGCTCATATATATATTTTTCTCGGGATTGCCGCGAACGGTGAAATATAGTTCGATCTTTTTCCTTTCATTTGAAGCGAAAGAAACGAGACTGCGACCTTTTCCCTCGCGACGTTGCAGCGCGTCGAAGGGAACCCTGCATTTTTGGCACGGAATCGGAGCCTGCGTTGACCCGAGGGTCTGGCCGCGTCGCGAGGGTGCGTCGAACTTAAAATTGAGAAACAGCGTCTTAAAGCAGAGGTTTCGAGCTTCGATTTATAAAAAGAACAGTCATCGTCTTAGGATGATTTTTCGCGGAGTCGTCGACAAAATGCAAAGTTCACATTCGAAGCGCTGTAACTTTGCGAAGAAAAATCGCAGCGACGTTTCTTTTTTTTTAAATCAAAGAGGAAGGATCAAGCTTCGTTTTAGTCTAAACGACATCTCCGGAAAAAATTTTACGAAGTCCGTGCATTTCGTCAAACTTGGCAATTTTCAATATCACGAACATGGCCTCGCATTTATAGGTTTACAACGACGAAGGCGTGTCGAACATAAAATCGAAGAACGGTGTCTTAAAGTAGAGGTTTCTAGCTTTAATTTAAAAGAACAGCCATCTTTCTACGATAATTTCTCGTGAAATTATGGCCCGTCGAAATTTACCAATTTTTACCAAAAATCGTTCTATTACCCTTCCAATAGAAACTCTCACGGATTCTACGAAATATAATAATTATAGGGCATCTAGCGGACTACAGGGTGTCCCAAAATTGTTGTACAAGCGAGGGGTTCCCGAGGCTTCTCATTGGTCACCGTTTTTCGTAAATAGCTCGTCAACGAAGCCGCGGACTGCATTTCCGCAAAGAAAAAATGAACTTCAAATAACCTCAGGAACGCTTGTACAATAATTTTAGGACACCCAGTCTACCAGAAGTAAACCCTTGAGAACGCAGGAGTGAGAACGAAGTCGCGTTCACCTTCTTGGACCGTAGTGAGGCCTTTCGGAACGTGGAAACGTGGAAACGCGGCGGCCCCGCGGCGCCTCGAACCTTCGAATATCTTGGCCGTTCGATGGCCGAGGGCAGGGGCCGGCTATTATATTCTCGATGGGAAGTGGCACCTCCGCCCACCTGGCGAGAAAGTTAATTGGCCGTAGTTCGAAGACATCGACTGCTCGAGGCCCCATCCGTCCGCGGCATCGTTCCGCGCCGGGAAGAACTATTAATTCGACGAGAAGAGGGCCGGCCACCGCCGGGTGGCGGTCAAGTTTAAATTGAACCCGTTCCCCGAGTTCCGAAGAATCGATCCCCGGAAAATTTGTTTCCAAGTAATACGACCGCCGCGGTTTAATACGGAGGGGCCGGAATAGAGGAACGAGGCGGAGGAGCCCGAGGAACGAGCCTCGGGTGCCCGCGGAACGACGAGCGGCGGCGCTCGTCGAAAGAACGGCCGCGTTACCGGCTCCGGTCGTCGTCGCGACGTCTTTCTCGTCGTTGTCGTCGTCGTCGTCGTCACGTAGTCCTCGGATTCCCACCTCGGTGAATTATGAATCGTATGGTAACGAGAAAATAGACGGACCGCGCGAGCGAAGAGCCCGGAAAGACAGGCCCCGCGGTCGTATATTGGACAGATGTCGCGTTCAATGTGCAAATCCGGGAACAAACGCGTCGCGGAAACTGGAACGGGAATCAAGAACGGCGCCGACACGCTGACGCGCGCCCTTCCGATCTGTTCTACCTGCGACAGCCCGCAATCCTGACGTGTAACGCGCCTCCGACCGCGTTTCCCGCAGATTAATGCGACCGCCTAGCGACGGAAGAAAAATTCGACGGCGTTCCTGGAATAACAATGTAACTGCCGAAATAGCAAAATTGTCTTTCTTCTTCTTCTTCGTCTGCTTCTTCTTCTGGAAATGATCTACGCGCGAATAGGGACGCGACGGGGTACAGAAATGTCTTCCTAACTGACGCTCGGTATAATCGTTTCTCCAAATTGTCCATTTCTGTGGACAATCTGAGCGTCAATAAGAGAGACGTTACTGTATCAGTGAAATCTCCCTAATCGATGCTGCATTTGGAAACAGAAATGGACAATTCGGGAAAAGGAGATACGATTATTCGAGCCTCGAACCTTAATCTTATAATTGTTGACAATCGGCAACTATAAAAACGAGCTGCAACGCTGGAATCATCGTGTCTCCTCTCTCCAAATTGTCCATTATTGTATACAAGCTGAACACCAATTAGGGTAACATCAATTAGGGAAAATTTACTGTACAGTAATTTCTTCCTAATTGACGCTGAGATTGTGCACGAAAGTGGACAATTTGGGAAGAGGAGATACGATTATTTCGAGCCTTGCGGCTCGTTTTTATGATTATTGAAAATTCATAGTTGTAAAAATGAACCGCAGGGGTCGTATAATCGCATCCCCTCTTTCCAAGTTGTCCACTTTGCTTGGTAGATTTAGCGTTAAATTTAACGAATAAATAATTTGTCTATATGAATAAATATTTGAATAAACTATTCGAATGAACTATTTCACTAAATAATCGACTTCGAATGAAAGCATTCGATACGTCTTGCACGACGAATAATTAATTGTGCCTAAAAATAAAGAAAAGGCACAGTAATCGACTACCGCACGGTAACTGGTTCCACCGCCCTGGGAAACCGCTACACTTTTAACGCCCCGCGAGTCTGTTTAAATTACCTTAAATTGTTATTACCAGCGTGCGGTGCGACGTGATTCGTAAGATGATCAAGCAATTCGTGTTTCATTTCGAAATTCCGGGGGC